ATGATGAAGAGATTTGAAAAAAATAGAAAAGATAAAGAAAGAGAAGTTATGTAAGAAAGAACAAGAAAAAATACACATGGAAATTGAAGAAAAGAAAAAAAAAAGAAACAATAAAAGAACAAGAAAGAGATAATTAGAAAGATATGAGAAAGAGAAATAAAAGAAATGGAAAAATGCAAAAGAAAGAAGAAGAAATAAAGAAAAAAGAGAAGAAAGAGAGAAAGAAGAAGTAAAGAAGAAAGACAAAGAAATAGAAATAGAAAGAATGAAGAGTAAACACCAGATAGAAGTTTATCAGAAAGAAGAACAAATACGAACACTGAAAGGGAATTTAGAGAAACAAAAGAAAGAAAGGGAAGAAGAAACTAATAGATTAAAGAAATAAAAAGAGAAAGAAATAAGAGAAATAAACAAGAAGAAGAAAACAATAAAACAAAAGATAAGACCAAACAACAAGAAGAAGAAAGAACAAAAAGACAAAGAAATTTAAGAAAAGAAATAGAAAGAAGAAAAAAACAAGGAATAGAAAACGTCATCAATAAAGAAGATACAAAAATGTAAATTTTATCAAAGTAAAGAAGAAACAATACATTGACAAAACAGAAACACCAAAGAAGTGGATCAAGTGGAATAATTATAGAAGAGAAGAAGTAGATTCCATCAAAGAAGAAAGCAGGAAGAAAATAAAACAAATATAAGAATAAGTAATTCGAATCAAGAGAAAAGAATTAATAAGAATAATATTAGAAGAACTAGAGAAGATAAATGGAGAGAATATCAATATAGAAGAAATATTGAAGAATAAATGAACTATCAGAACTAGAAGAAAATAAGATAAAAAGTTATTATTGTTATTGATTAAATATAAAAAATATTAAAATGAAAATTAGATATTACAGAAATTAAAGAGATAATAGAATAAAGAAGAACAAAGATAAATAAAGAAGAGTAATATATAGAAATGAACAAAAGATGAATAGATGAAAGAAACAATAAAAAGATAATAAAAATAACAATAAATATAATGAATAATTATAAATATATTCATTAAATTAAAATAAATAATGACAAACAACATGAAAGATGAAATAAATAATAATAAAAAGAAGTAATACAAGAAAGTAAAGAAAAATAAATAAAATAACATATATTAATTATTATTTGAATAAAAAAACATATGATAAAATAATTAAATGTATGAATAAAGAATGGAAGTGTGAATGTGAAAATATAGAAGATATCAAAAAAGAAATATATAAAATAACATATTATATTTCTAAATATCAATAAAATAATTTTATAAGATATCGAAATGATGAAATTAATAATCTAAGAAGAAAAACCAATAAATTAAAATAATTATTAAATAACAAGAATTCCAATAGAATTAAAATAATAAAGAGAAATAAATAATACATGATGAATATATTATTAATAAAATATGAAATTAAACAAATAGAATATTTAATTAATAAGAATAGACCTTAATAAAGAAGATGGGAGAAGAATAAGTAAAAATACAATAATGATAAGAAATTAGAAGAAGATTAAATAAAATATATAATATCATAATGATGAAATAATAAGATAATAAGAGATGAATATGAATTAGAATTAATAAGAACTATTATGTATTATGAATGGAAATAATGAAATAAGAGAAATGATGAAAATGAATAAGAATTGAATTTGGAGGTGATTTTATAAAAACAAATGATAAAAAAATTAATAAAAATGAATTTAATGAAATATATTTATTGTTACAAAATAAGAATGAATCATCTATAATAATAAAATATTTAAATATTAAATTTAATGATTATTAATAAATTGAAATAAATAATGTAAATATTCATTTAATAAAATAATTTGAAAGTTAAATCATATATGAAATTAACAAGTAGAATAATGATAAATATTAATATAAAAAGAAATGGTTATAAACAATTAAAATTAATGCAAGAAAAAGGTATATTTGTATTAATTATGAAAGTATTAATTACATGAAATAATAATTTAAAGTAGTGTAGTATTTATAATGATAAAATATCATCAACTGAACATATATCATTAAATTGTATTGTAAATAAGAAGGTACAAATAGAAAAACATGATTTAATAAAAGAATATATATGGAGATGTGATAAATTAAAATATAAAATAAATATAATAAATGATAATGAAATAAAGAATAAAACAAGAGAGAATAATGAAAATAATATTTAATAAAAATGAAATAAGTAAATTCAAAAGAAGAATTGAAAATAATGAAGTATTCATTGTATTGAATCAACAAATAATTAATAAAATTGAATATTTCATAAAATACCAGATATTTATATAGAATATAAAATAAATAAGAATAATACATGATAAAATGATAAATCTATATTAATAATAAAGTAGAAAATGATTGAAATAATCAATAAAATAATAGAAATTATTATAATAAAATAAAAGTGATTCTAATAGTAATACAAAATGGATTAATTAATAAAGAAATTGTAAAAATGATAAAATAACAAAGTAATATAAAACAATAAGAAATAATGTAAAATAGAATAAATAAAGACAAAGAAAGACTTAATGAAATAATAAATAAATGAAATGAAATATAGAGACATAGAAGTATAACATGAACAATACATTCAATAGAATGAAATAATTTCAAATAGATAAATAGAAAAATAAGTGTTTTATTAAATTTTAATTTATTAATTTTTTATTTCAATTTATTTATTTTGCTCTGGCTTGATAGTTAAATAAATTCTTTTAGAATGTCTTTAGTTATAACTTTGGAACAAACTCATTTACTAAAACCTATTACAAACTTTACCTTTTCTGTTTTGTTTGATATTTAATCAAATTATTTTTTAGATTTAGAAAATAATATTTTTTAAAGACATGAGATTAGAAAACAATAAAATTAAATATTTTTTAATAACTGGAGAAGTAAGTGTA